GAAGGAAGTGCAGCAGGAGGGCCAGGAGACCTTCTTGGATGGATAAGGAGCTCCTGAGGAAAATTCAGATGAAAAAAGAGGCTTATGAGAGGTGGAAGCAAGGACCGGGAGCCTGGGAAGAATACAGGGATGTTGTCTGGGAAGCTATGGACCAGGTTAGGAAAGCTAAGGCCCAGTTAGAATGAAACATGGCTAGGGATGTGAAAGATAACAGGAAGGGATTCCATAGGTGCATTGCAAATAAAAGACAGCTAAGGCCCACAGTAGGGGAGGATCTGATTTGAGACCATCTTAAGAACCTGAAAGTGCATAAGTCCATGGGTCCTGATGAAATCCATCTGCAGGTCCTGAAGGAGCTGGCAAATGAAGTTGCTGAGCCACTATCCATCATATTTGAAAAATCATGGCAGTCAGGTGAAGTTCATGACGACTGGAAAAAGGGAAATATAACTCCCATTTGCAAGAAGGGGAAAACGGATGACCCAGGGAATTACAGACCAGTCAGTCTCACCTCTGGGCCTGCCAAAATCTTGGAGCAGATTCTCCTGGAAGGCATACTAAGGAATGTGAAAGACAGCAAGGTGCTTGGTGACAGCCATCATTGCTTCACTAAGGGGAAATCCTGCTTGACCAATTTGGTGGCCTTCTGTGATGGGGCTACAGAACTGATGGACGGGGGTAGAGCAGTTGATGTCATCTACTTGGACTTGAGTAAAGCGTTCAGCACTGTCCCACACGACATCCTTGTCTCTAAATTGAAGAGACATCAATTTGATGGATGGACCACTTGGTGAATAAAGAACTGGCTGGATGGCTGCACACAAAGAGTTGTGGTCAATGGCTCAATGTCCAGCTGGAGACCAGTAATGAGTGGTGTCCCTCAGGAATTGGTGTTGGGACCGCTCTTGTTTAACATCTTCATAGCTGACATGGACAGTGGGATTGAGTACGCCCTCAGCAAGTTTGCCAATGACACCAAGCTGTGTGGTTCAGTTGATATGCTGGAGGAAAGGAATGCCATCCAGAGCACCTTGACACTCTTGTGAGGTGGGCTGATGCCAACCTCATGAAGTTTAACCATGCTAAGTGCAAGGTCCTACACCTGGGTCGAAGCGATCCAAGGCAGAGCTACAGGTTGGGCAAAGAAGAGATTCAGAGCAGCCCTGCGGAGAAGGACTTGGGAGTGTTTTTTGATGAGAAAATGAACATGAGCTGGCAGTGTGCACTTGCAGCCCGGAAAGCCAACTGTATCCTGGGCTGCATCAAAAGGAGTGTGACCAGCAGGTTGAAGGAGGTGATCCTGCCCCTTTATTCTGCTCTTATGAGACCTCACCTGGAGTATTGTGTGCAGTTCTGGTGTCTCAACATAAAAAACACATGGAACTGTTGAAACAAGTCCAGAGGAGGGCCACGAGGATGATCAGGGGACTGGAGCACCTCCTGTATGAAGATAGGCTGAGGAAGTTGGGGCTGTTCAGCCTGGAGAAGAGAAGGCTGTGTGGAGACCTCATAGCAGCCTTCCAGTATCTGAAGAGGGGGCCTATAGGGATTCTGGAGACGGACTCTTCGTTAGGGGCTGTAGTGATAGGACAAGGGGTAACGGGTTAAAACTTAAACAGGGGAAGTTTAGACTGGATGTAAGGAGGAAATTTTTTCCTGTTAGGGTGGTGAGGCACTGGAATAGGTTGCCCAGGGAGGTTGTGAATGTTCCATCCCTGGTTGTGTTCAAGGCCAGGTTGGATGAAGCCTTGGGTGACATGGCTTAGTATGAAGTGTCCCTGCCCATGGCAGGGGGATTGGAACTAGATGATCTTAAGGTCCTAATAGCTCAGGTCTGTTTGTGGTACAGATAACCAGGAGTATTGTGCTTATGTGTTGTGATTTGTTCAGAAGTCTGAATTCTTTGATAAATGGTACAACAGTTTATTGGGTGAACTTTAATTTTGTATTCAGGGCAGTTATTTTCTGAAATTAAGTTTGAAAAATCAAGAACAAAATGCATTGAGTTCTCCAGTGTTTTTATGGACTGCAGTGTTCCCTGGTATGTAACTGTCTTTGAACGTTCAGGTCATCTAGTCTGTTGATGTGAATGCCTCATTAAAGGTATTCCATGGACTACACTGAAATGCAGATGAGGAAATGGTTCAGTGCATTCAATGTGACTGGGTAAGAAGCCCATGTAACTTACCTGGCCTTTATAGTGCTAATTATGTTTTGTGATCTTGTCTAGATGTAAGTGATCTTGGCCAAGTGGCTGTTTTAATTTAATTGAGCATTGAATAAATCAGTGAAGGTATAAAGGATTATGCGTATTGTGTTTCTAAAAAAAGCAACATGCTTGCTGGACTCTAATGCCACAGTCCTTTTCAGTCCTGCCTAAATAAGTACAGCATATTCTAGTTCAGTGATGGACAGGCTGTTAATTCTTAAACTAGCTAAGGAATAGGAACCAAACACCTTGAATGATTTATGGGTTTTCTTCGTAAGCTTGTTTCTGTTTTGTAACCTTTAAAATGTGGGTTTTATGAGTGGTATCATTAAAATTTATGCTCCCTTTAGTATGTGATGTTAGCCATTATTGCTCTGCTGTGACTCCAGATCACCTGTCTGAATTATAAAACAGCCTTCCTTGGAGCTAAATTTTTTTTTCCTTGCTAGAGGAAATGCATGTGGACTTCATTATTTTTCATTGGTGCTCCGGTACTGGAGCAGAGGTCAGAATCTGGCCTTTTCTGCTTTCTGTCCAAATAAGAAAACGTTGCCATGAGGTACTGTGTATTTCTAAGAATGAAATATGAAGGGTCTTTTATCTCAGAGATTTGATACCAGTCAGAAGAAACTGACGGAATTTGTTTTGAAGTGTACTATATTTTTTTTGTTAACTTAGATTGGTATGCTCAGTATGTGATTTAATGTTGTGCTAGGCTTTGTTAGGCTAATTTTAAAATGTTTCCCTAAAAAGTGAATCATCGGTAAGAGAAAGTACAAGCTAATACTGAAGGTGAATCATAGTCCTTTGTTTCTATCAATTGAGGCTTTTTTAAAAAGGATCTTCTATACCAGGAAGGATATTGCAAAAGACTTCAGAGTTACATTTTTAGTCTGCACCCTCAAATTGAAGGCGCCAAAAATGTTTCTTTTACCATGGTTTGTCATACTATAAAAAGTTGTGAGCTTTTTTGAAGGAAATAAATCAAGACATTTTTTCTAATATCCGATCTAAACCTCCCCTTCACACCTTGAGGCCCTTTCCTCTTGTCCTGTGTCGTGGTTTAAACCCAGTCAGGAAACTCGTTCACTCACTCCCCCCCCCCTCCCGCATCCTTGCCCTCCCCCTACTCCCGGAGGGAGGGAGAGGAGAATCAAAAGAATGCAACTCCCATGGGTTGAGATAAGAACAGTTTAGTAACTAAGGTATAACACAAATCACTGCTGCTACCACCAATGATAATAATGATAAGGGAAATAATAAGGGAAGAGAATACAACACCTCATCACCTGCCAACCGATAACTCGCTCCCCCCCAACCCAACCAAGCGCCGACCGATACCTCCTCCAGCCCCACAGTCCCAGCCCTTCCGGGTGACTCCCAGTTACCTCCTGGGCATGACGTGCTGAGTTATGGAATACCTCTTTGGTCAGTTTGGGTCAGGTGTCCTGTCTCTGTTTCCTCCTGGCTTCCCCTCCTCCCTGGCAGAGCATGAGGCTCACAAAGTCCTTGGCCAAACCAAAACATCCTTGTTATCAGCTCTGTTCCCGAGCTGAAAGTCAAAACACAGCACTGCACCAGCTACCAAGAAGGAGAAAAATGACTGCTACTGCTGAACCCAGGACATCCTCTTGCTTGTTACTTGGGAGAAGAGACCAACCCCTACCTTGCTACAGCCTCCTTTCAGGTAGTTGTAGCGAGGAATAAGGTCTCCCCTCAGCCTCCTTTTCTCCAGGCTAAACAACCCCAGTTCCCTCAGCTGTTCTTCTTAAGGCTTGGGCTCCAGACCCTTCATCAGCTTCGTTGCTCAGAAAAGTTGGGATTGCATGCAAAGAGCTAGGATTTGAGGTGGTCTTGCTTGCTTTTTTTTTGTTTGTTTGTTTTTTATTGTTGTTTTCCTTTCCCCTCACTCCCACCACAAATCTGACTGTTGTAATAACAAAAGTTTTAATGATGTTGACAGAGGATAAAATACTAATTTCAGTGCAGCCTGAGGCTACCATGATATATTCAGTACTGTTATCTGGTTCAATTGAAAGATATGTGATGTATTACTAGAAAATAAATTTAAACAACAACAAAGTGTTATTGTTGGAAAACTTGAGAATAAAATGGACCACGTTGGAGGTATTTCAGAATAAGCGCACTCAGGCATTAGATCCTCCTCCAGTGGAATCTTCCTGAAATATTTGGTATCATGCTGCATGTTGTTACAGTTTGTAAAATTACCTGTCTGCTTCCTAGAGTAGGAAGGGATGCTCTGTGGGCTTGTACTTTTTCCTATTATCAGTTAAGGTCTGTGCTGAGAGTCTTCTCCTCCCCTCAACACGCACTGCAGCTAGACTTTGATTAAAGTAATAGTATCAAGTCGAAGTTTAATTTGCTCTATGCTACTTATACATATTTAAAATTGTGGTGGGCTCCATAAATGTCAGATAGCGAAGAAGATAGAAAGAAGAGCTGTGATGCTGATTAGAGGAGGCTAAGTAGAGTTTTTCATAGGGTTAATGCTTTTCAAATTGGAGGATGTGAGATTGAAAGTGAAGGGCATACTCCTTGTTGAGGGAAAGTGGTAGAGTAGTCCTAATGCAGAATCTCATTAAAGGAACTGTCATGATTCCTCTATTTTACCATCACCTCCCCTATTCTGTAAGAGTCAACTGTCGTTTTGAGTGAGCATACTGCCAAAGAGGCATTTACAAATAAATGAAAAATGTCACAATTGATTTTGCTCCTTTCAGAGTACTCTATGTCAGCTTTGTCACAAACCCTTTGTTATTCTCTTTTTCAGATCTGTTGTCTGGACATTGGAAATAGCTTTGGTTGTGGGCTTCTTCCTGTTGACCCAGGGTAAGTTCCCCGAATTATGATTTTTTGTTAACATTTGTGCAACAGTAAAATATGATTGACTTTTCCGTGCTTATAAAGGATTAAAATGCTAGAAACTCTTACCAATTACCTGATGAATGTGTATCAAAGCTGCATAACACGGTCCACAGTGGAGAATGCAACTAACATAACAGATTTATTCCTTACTTTCTTCCACAGAAGTATTTGTGAATTATGGTAATTACTTTGCTGGTGTTGCATGTGGCGGTAGTAGCCACATAAAATATATATAGCTGTGTGGTTTTGTTTGTTTCTGTAGAATATATGCTTCTAAATTGATAGTGTTATTTTCTTCAATATTTATAATTTCTCAATCTCTTTCAATGTATGCTATATGGTTATTATAGAGCATATTGCTGCTTGTTAACATATGGAAAGGTAAGCTGTTTTTCTTATGTATTTGCTGGCTGGATAAATGGGCCTAATGGGCAATATCAGTAAACCGCTTTTAGTGCTAAAGTGTTAGCATAAGAATGGGTATCCGTATATGTCATTATAAGAAATACTTGAGATAGCTGAGATACAGCAAAATATCTCAACTACTATCACTTCTAAGAAAAAAAAAGTCTTAGTTATTTCTCCTTGAACTTCAGTTTTGCGATAGCAATCAGAAGTACCTGGAGTGTTAGACTAAATCTGCTGTGAAAGAAACTTCATTAACTTGTATGGAAATGCCCATGATCCTTTAAATAGGAGTTAGAGGTTTTTAGTGACAGACCTAGTGCTACACTTGAGTAGTTTTTGTCTTTTTTGCATTTTATGTGATGGCCAGGAAGTGTAACCTGCATATAGTAATAGGACAAGTGTTTACCATTTTCCACTATGTTAAAAAAATAAATTTGCACTATATAGAAGTATTTTGTGATGTTTTGTGTCAGTATTTCTGAAGGGATTCTTCAACAATGATTCAACACACATTTTACAATCTGGCAAACAGCATGAAGTCTGTTTCAGTGCACGTTATTTTTTTCATAGTGTATTTTAAAAAGTTGCTTCATTTTATCGTTATTGCTAATAAGATTTTGAGAGAAAGATAAGAACTGAAGAAAAACACGGTGGTGTCATTTCTGTACTTTGGAAACTCCCAGGAAACCCAGGAATGAGTTGGACTTTGAGGGAAAACAAGAACAGTTTACGGTGTCACCTGCCCTGTATACAGGTTTCTATTTCTCTTTCATCTGGGGTTATAATGTACCTGGATTAGCTTTACTCCTACTGCAGCAGAAATGTCTTTGCATTAGCGTATGCTTATTTATTAGCTGTTTGAGCGTTTTCAGTGTTACACGCACAGCCAGCTTTTACAGTTCTAGTATACCTGTGTCTTAAAACTAAATGCGTTAGGTTTTTTTTTTTTTTAGGAGTTTTAAAATTAATATCTAAAATATCTGTTAACTTTCCTGAAAGTCTTGAATTTTTATTTTTATTCTTTTAACTAGAAATCATAACTTGTTATTTCTATACTATAGTACACACTCAATTTGTACTTTGGACTCTCTCTCTTGTTTACATGTTAGTACAAACTTTGGGCCAAAGCTTTCGAAGGCAGTCCCTAATACTGAGTTATCAGCAGTGAGCTGCCCAGCCTTGCTTTACTTTTGTTTGTATTAGAAAAAAATCTGAGATGCGAATCTAGTACAGAGACAGAAGATGGGTTCTGGCAGTGTAAAAACTGATGATATAATTTCAGTGACTAAACCAAACAGTTCAGGGTTGTTATATTTGTGTAATTATTATTGTTACTGTAAATAAAGAGTAAAGAAAGGAAGGAAAACCTAGATGAAAATGAAGTAGAGCTCAACACTCTCAGCTGTATGCATCCCCAAAGCTCCACTGCCCATTTGATTTCATTAGTACAGTTCCTCATTGCCGTGGCTGAACAAGTTGGTTTTAGGTGATTTGATACTCAAAAAGGAATAATGAGGTAAAATGGGGTTTACTTGTTGTTGTGGCATGGTAGTCAAGGTTGAACCACTTAATTTTAGGGGTTTGGACAGGGCAAAGAAAATGGCTAATTGCTTGCTTAATTTATCATTCTTCCACGTTTGCTTCTAGCTGTAACGAGTTAATGATGGTCAGAGAGATTAACCATCAGAAATCCCCCAAACTGTCCAGGAAAATACCATGAAGTAGCTTAATGTTGAAATACTTTAATTGCTGCTTAATCAGCAGGGCAAGGGCAGGGAAGGAAGTTCATATGCTGACCCCTGGGTTCCAAAAGAATCTTTAGTCAAAACAGTGACTCCAAATGCAGGTAGTATGTTCATCTATGCATAGTATATGTGAGTGTGGAGGGAAGTGTCTTTGACTACATTTCCTCAAGTCCTTATTTTAGCAAGAGCATCTTGGGAATATTTCCAAAGCTCAAAACATCAGTGGGACCTAATGCGTTTTATTCCCTATGAAATGGTAGTGTTTGTGTAAGTAACAAATAATGATAATTGTTATTGTTCCCGAGTAAATATGCCTACATATAGATTTACATTAGTCTTAAGAAAGTCAGTGAATTGCCATTGAGTTAATAGTATTGGCTCTATTTGATAAGCAAGTCCTTGGGCTTCTTTGAAAATCATAGCTATAGTTAATCATAGTTGAACACCTATGAGTTAGGGGTTTTCCCTTATTTTCCACTGTCTTGAGGAAGAATTCAGTTCAATATTCTTGAATTAGTTACAGAGACATGATTAAGTTTTTTAACATTTGTATAAACTTGACTTGCATGCAGGAGGTAGATTGTGATAACCTGTGCTATACTAAAATGACACATAAGTAGAGAATGTTTTTATCAGCTGAAAAGTTTTGTTGTTTAAAGTTGATCATCTTTAGAGGTGCCATCAAATAATAGACCAGAACATAATCCTTCTCTATTGCATATTAATTCCATAGAGGGATGAATTAATCTTTTCTGATTGCAATAGTGTATGACTGAGCGTGGAAATACTATAGAACTATAAAATGACCTGTAACACAAAGTCTAGTTTTTCTAGGCTAGCGTATTTATTTTATAAAACTTTCTAAATGGCTCATACTTCTAGTGATTTTTGTGTGAAACAAACAGGAAGTGAAAGTATTGGTTTTAAAGTTAAAAGTTGGCATGGAATGATGTGTACTTTGCCTTAAAGAAACTGTGAGCTGACAGAGTTGTTCCCCTGCTCATAGCAGGAATTCTGAAACCAATGATTACATTATTTTGTTGTCTTTTTATTGAGCCCATATAGAGTGTCCTTCTGGTTGCATTATGAAGTGTATCACACTTGAAAGGTTCTTTCCAGCCTCGAAGACTTGTTTGTGCTGTGTTTCAGTTTATACTTAGCATTTTAATTAATACGGGCATTAATCCTTCCTTAATTAATATTTTCATCAGCAGTGGTGGAAGTTGTTAACAAGGCCCTTGCCTGTTACGTCCTGATATAAGGCCGTTTCCTTTAAGAATAAACTAGACCTTGAGGTGTAGTTAGCGATGGCAGAGGCTTTGGGAATGTGCGACAAAAGATCAGAAGTCTAAGGAAACACTGAAATTAAGCTCAGCCTTGACTACCTTGATCAGGTTGATACTTCTGTGTTCTTGTAGGAGGTTGCATGCCTTAGCACAAAGAAGGGCAGTAGTGGCTCCATACATGTGAATTAGAACGAATGACTCATTTGTGTGACACTATAGTCAACCTTTGGTTACAGGCAAGGTAGCATAATCGCTATTTGATTAATTGATAAATTAGTCTAGAGTACTGTGCAGAATGAATTTTCAAAGCAGCCAAGGTATATGACCATTATTTCTCACATGAATATTGGAAAATTAAAGAAAATATGGAAGCTTAAATAGATCCTTCTGACCCTGCTGTTGTTCAGGGAAGAAGTGTAGTATTTAGCATCCCATGGTCTTCTCAGTATACTTTATTCTTTAAAACTGTGCTCTTCCAGATGTACTATATCTAAGTTCAAAAGTGAGTATTTCCTATGTCTTAAGACCTACAAAGGAGATAATCATCTAGGGAGAGTTTTGACATTTGTTTTAATGGAAGGAGGATCAAGCATGAATGCTAGGTTAGCATGACATTTAAAATTGGTTAGCAATAGTGATCAGTAAATCGAACTATTCAAGCTGCTAAGATTCTCCTTTTTGTAATGTATTCTCACTTCTGTGTATTTTTCTTTTTTTTTTTAATTATTATGTATTCAAATTTAAAATTTTATTTGGAAGAACATAGCTATACCTGTATGAATAAACCATCCTTATCCTGTTGATGTTGATAACCAAGCTCTGATGGATTTCAGTAGCATTATGAATCTGTCTGCTGGAGATGCAGTTTATATGCATAGATGCAGTACTGCTCAAAGCAAAATATTTCACAGTCCTAATATGAACACTTTCAGTGCTCTAAGGCATCTCAGTGATTATGGAAAAGAGCTTGTCTCCACCAAGAGAAATATTTTGCAATGGTTTTATTTTCAGAAAAGCTAAAGCCATAATCGAGAAATGATGACCCAATTTTTGATTAAAAAATCAAATCACCCAGCTTCCCTCCCCCAGCAAAACACCTTCCCAGCAAATAAATAATATTCTAATTAAATTACCGGAGGTTTCAGCTTCAAGAAGTAGAATATCTAATAAATGAGGCTTGCAGAAAATGAAACTTAAAAGCCTGAGATCTCAATGAATTGTTTAAAGACAGGATGGAGGGACTGGAAGGTAGACAGGTCCAACTTTTTGGGAAGCTTCTCTTTCATGGTTAAGTATTCCTGTTGTTTTCACCTCTGCTTCCCCAAATCCACCTGTTTCTATCAAAATCAGCTATGCGTGTTGTCTTCTTAAAAAACTCTGCGCTGGTTGTAACTGACTTTGCTACTGCAGACCTTATGGATTTCTTTTGAGTTCACTGTGTAACATTTACTATGAGCTTTGTATTAGCAGTTACTTTTACAAAGTATGACTTTTTCAGTTAAATAGGATCTTTCATCCTAGACAG